GAATTCATGGAAGCTGGCACAGTATCAGGTTATAAACAAAATGCTTTCCCAAGCAGATTGTATAAAAGGCAGCTTGCAAATTAAACAATCTCCTAGTCTATGAAAGAGAGCAAAGATTAAAAAAGGAAAAAGTCCCCATTGTTTCCCTTGTTTCTCCACTGGTAACAAAGATTCCCAGCACTCCTCCACTGGTCCCATTACTTCTGGATGGATGATATACCATTTCTGAGGAAATCAAAGGAACTTTTTTTTTTTAACACACCTTGTGTTGACTTAATTTCTATAGGGGAGCTCTCTCCTTACAGAAAGGAATTTCCTGGGGCTGGGTGTTTGACAGGTGCCTGGACAGAAGCCAACTGATTATGGGTTCCCCCACTGCCCTCCCTGTGCAGACATAACTGGTTACAGTGTTGCTTCTGTCTATTTGAAGTCATTTAACTAAAGACTACCTCCTGGACCAGAAAAACAGCTTGCCCTGTGCATACCACTACTTCCTCCTTAGTGTATGCTGTATAGGTAGGCTTTGATACTACATTTTTGTCTTTGATTATGAACAAAAGACAGATACTTAGATATAAAACAGCACAGAATCCTTTTAACCCATAGAACCACTTATGAGAATCTAGGTCAACAGTAGAGGAAGTGGTGCCTAGTAACTAGGTGTCTATATATTAGGGTTGCTGTGGTAATGATTAAGTGTGTCCCTTTTCACTTGTAGTGCTAGTGTAGATGGTCGAAATATCTGATCACTCTATAAATAAACTGTATATCTACAAATAACGTTGCATACACACAAAAGAAAGGATCAACATAATGGCAACTCATTGAAAGTCTGCAAACTATTAAGTAATTGATTAATTGATAATCCATTTCCTTTTTAGAATGAGTTATACCAACCAGAGGACATGGAAAAATATTAGCCTCTAGGAAGGAACTCAGGTTTTGGTACATATAGTGATGGATGGGCATGGGTGAGGAAGAGGTAAAAGAAAATCAGAGGCTGTCTTTGCAGACTCCACTGTCAGCTTCATCATGTCCTTTCCTGGTGGAAATTAAAGCATTTGAATGCTTTCAGGCCATCTATGAGGCGAAAGTTCCTGACATATCACCAATGACATCAAAACAATGACACCACACCAAAACCAGTTTTTCTTCTACTTCTGCTCTTCCTGAGGTAGACCAGTAACAGCGTTCCTGAGACACAAGAGACGCCTTAGTTTAGTAATAAATGAAAATGATTCCTATATGCAATGGTTTGAATCTATATTTTACTTCTAAAATTCACACTGAAGCTTAACCTTCACTGTGATGGTTTTGTCTCCTATCCTCTCCCTTCTTCCGTGTTGAGGACATAGCAAGGGGTAGCATCTTGAAGTACTGAGGACCTCTGGCTGCCCAACAAATCTGCAGTGCCTTGATTCTGAACATATCCTCTAGAACTGTGAGAAATGAGTTTCTATTAATTATAGTTTACACAGCAGGTGATATTCTACTCTACCAGCAAACACAGTAAGACAGCAGCATTAAGCAAGCCTCTCCCATTGCTGTTTTGGTATTATTTAGGTTATTGTGATATTTGGTAGCCCGTTCCAGACAAGGGCAGGCCCTCCCCTGGGGTCATCTCTGGCCAGACTCCACCCCTAAAAAGACCTCCACTGCTGGAGGGCATTAAAAGCCCCACCTCTGGGTTCACCTTGTGGTTCCTGGTTTTCGGTTCCCTTGGGGCCACCCAGGAACACTTTGCTCAGATCAAACCTGGATTTATTAATTTGGTCTGATTGGCTTATTGTATCAGCGGTGGGTTTCCAACAACCTTTCCGTTAACCGGGAGTTTTAAACTTAACATCTTCTGTTTTCCAACATTTCAGGTGGAAGTATAAAATTTGTCCTTGGGAGGTTTCTTCTAAATTGCCATACAATTTGATGCTACGTGTTGTATTTTTCCGTGCTTCCAATCAATTTGTACTGGAAATATAATTACGGCTGTTAAATTTTAGGTCCTGGTATTAGGTGATTCAAACTGGCTTGTGAAGAACGGCCCTTCCTACCACAGTCCCAGTTGGTAATTGTGTCACATCTCATGACTTCACAGCTGCAAATCTGCCCTGACCCACTCACACTTGTCTCTGGCCAATGATGCTTTCCTTAATTAGGACATGACTTAAACTTTAGTCTTGACTTTTCAATTGCTTTGGCTGTAGGCTACCCAAATACAGGCTGGTGGTCTAACTGAGCAAGGAAAACCTGTTTAAGTTTCCATGCTATTAGCCTTGACACTGAACAAATGGAAGAACAATTTGTCAGGATTTGTTTGGCCTACTCAATTGTCTCCGAAGACTTCCAGTCCTTACAACCTAGTCTTGTGTGCAGGTTTTATGACTGCGGCGTTACTATAGCTAGGTTTTTTTGTTTGTTTGTTTGTTTTTGTGTTTTTTTTTTTTTTTTTTTTTTGGTTTTTCGAGACAGGGTTTCTCTGTGGCTTTGGAGGCCGTCCTGGAACTTGCTTGGTAGTCCAGGTTGGTCTCGAACTCACAGAGATCCACCCGCCTCTGCCTCCCGAGTGCTGGGATTAAAGGCGTGCGCCACCAACGCCTGGCTACTATAGCTAGGTTTTATATACATATATGTGGAGCCAAGGGTCAACCTCAGGATGCCATTCCTCGGGAACCATCTCTCCTATTTTTTAATCAGCTGCCTCCCCAATGCTGTATGACATCCTCAAGCCACTAGACCTGACTTTTTACATAGGTGCTGAGGATGAACCTCAGGTTCTCCCACTGGCTGAGCAAAAACTTTACCAACTGCCCTATCCCCTAGGCTTTCTTTCTTTCTTTCTTTTTTTGGTTTTTCGAGACAGGGTTTCTCTGTGGCTTTGGAGGCTGTCCTGGAACTCACTCTGTAGACCAGGCTGGCCTCGAACTCACAGAGATCTGCCCGCCTCTGCCTCCCGAGTGCTGGGATTAAAGGCGTGCGCCACCAACGCCCGGCTCCCTAGGTTTTCTTAAAAATCACTTTAATCGAACCCCACCATGAGAATGACGTCTAGAAAAATAGGATGTGCACTTTTCTCAAGTTGATGTGAGTATAACTTGAGAACAGGGAAGACTCCTCTCTTTAAAGAGAGTAGACAGGTCAAACCTGCTACTGCTTGATTTTTTTTTTTTCTTTTGCTTTAAATTGCCAAAGTACCCAGGGTTTCCCCGGGTGGATGGTTAAGCCCCACATTCTACGTATATACCCAGGGCATATTTGAAATGTGATTCCTATTTTCTGTTTTGTTTTTTGAGGAAACCCAAGTCTCTGGTTACTACTTAAGGCAGGCAGGGGTTTCTGGCTTGCATTGACTTCCACTCAGCTTGAGGTGGGAGTAGGTGACCCAGGGTTAACTGGGTGATTTAGAAAAGCAGAGAAGCCCCTGAGTACAATGAATGCAATTATTTAATTATGGGATGTTGGCGCTGCAGAGAGCCTTTGGAATTACCCACTGCAGCCCCCTTATTTTTATAGAAGGGGTGTAATGGAAGGGTTTGTGACTCAATCATGACTACGGGCAGAGTAGAAGCAAGTGCTCTATCACTTCACGTGCCTGCTTCACTTTTCTTAACCCGGCCCATTTGGTCCTCACACTGCGGACTGAGTACAAGAGCCTGCCTCTAGCAAAATCATACAAAAAAAAAAAAAGGCGATATACAATTTCTTATGCACCCCACACAAACGTACTGAATGTTCCAAAAATCCACATTTCTTCATTAAAACAAAGAAACAAATAATAAAAAAAGGACCGTTATAATGTGATTGATCTAAATTCCCCAGGGTTTGTTTTTTGTTTTGTTTTGATTTTTATTGTCGCCGTTATTTGAATGTGCTGGTCTTTCAGGTGAAAAAAGCCTCTGAGAGTCAGTCCCCTCAGGATGGTGAGTCATGTGAGCCATCCTTTCCAACAGCTGGGGTAAGAATGCTGTCACCACAAGGGCCACATAACAGGGTTTTCTCCCCTCTGCCCCGCCCCACCGCCAGCCAGGGCCGCGGTTCCTTCCCGATGGTTTTGGGGTAGGAGTGGACAGGAGGCCTCCAGACGCGGTGGGCGTCGGTGACATCACTGTCCCTCCGGCTCACACCCAGGCCTGGCGGTAGTAACGGGGACGCCTACGGGCACTGTGTGTAGCCCAGGGTGACCGCGCTTTTGTCCCCAAGGCATTTCCCAGAAGCCGCGCCGCGCCCTCTGGAGGCCGCGTGGGTCGCCCACGGAAGCCGTCCTCCGAGGGCTGCCGGGCAGCAGAGCCCTACAAGGGGAAACGGGTCACCGCGCCGAGCGGTCACCGAGTCACAGGGCTCGGGCACGTGAGGTGGTGGCAGTTGCCACCGACTACCGGGGGCTGACCTATTTCCTGCGAGTGCGAGCTGCGGGCGAGGGGGCGAGCGAGGAGGGACGGCGCCCGCTCCTCCGTGCCCGCGTCCTCCACCGTGCCGCAGGAGCTCTGGGAATTCCTTCCAGAAAAGCAAGGTCGGCAAGCCGACCCGGGGCCGGGAGCACCGCCGGGAGCCGTGCCGGAGCATCGCGGGGAGGGGCGGGCACGCGCCTAGCAGGACGCTCACCCCCCCCGCCCCCCAGCGCGTTCTGCGGGCCCCCAAGCAGAGGGTAGAGCGTGCGCGCCCCCGAAGGGCCGTGCGTGCGCGGGCCCGCCTGCGCGCTGCCGGGCCGGGGGGCGGGGCGCATGGGGCGGGCCGGGGCGGGGCGCACGAGGAGGGCGGCGGCGGTTGGAGGCAGAGGAGAAAAGGCGGCGGTCCAGCCGGGGCGGAGGCGCAGAGGTGTCGCACGGCCAGGGCTCCGTGCGCGGTTCGGTGCGGTGACAGTGCGGAGACGCCGGGCGCGACGGCCAGGGCGACCGGGGACTGAGCGGCGCTGCGGGCGCGCGGGCCGGTGAGTGTGGCGAGGCCGCGGGTGGCCGGCGCGGGGACGCGGGCGACGGGACTGCGCCGGGTCAGCGGCCGGGACGGCGCGGGCCGAGGGGGCGGCGGGCCCGGTGGAGTCGGCGTAGCCCTGGGCCTGTCCTGCTCGGCGGGGACGCGGGACCGCGCCCGCTCGCCTTGTGGGTTGTGTGTGTGTGGCCCTCCCTCGAGGCGCCCGGCCAATGGCGCCCCGACCCCCGGGGAAGCAGACCCGGGTGAGGTCCCCCTCGCTGTGTGCGCGAACGAACGGTCCCGGGATGCCAGGCTCGCCCGCCGCTGGCTTGTGGGAACTGAACTTGGGTGGTTTGGGCACAGACGGGTTAAAGGACTGCGAGGCATCTCCAACTGTCTCCACGGGATGAGCGAAGTTGGTAACTTTTCCATTCATGGAAGTGAGAGGCGCCCGGGCTTAGCCTTGGCCCCGGTTAAAGGGAAAGTTAGGAATCTGTCCCCCAAGTCCTTGGTTCTTCCTCACGGAGCCCCAAATTGGAATCAGGACATGGAACGCACGGTGGATGCAGAGTCACCCGGGAATACTTTTTTTTTTAACCTCGATGGCGGCCGGTGTTTACCCTGGTTCTCCTGCCCTCCTCCTCTCCCTTTATTGAGCCCTGCGGTAAATCCCGGGTAAACGATGCTTGGGAAGGAGTTGACCTTTTTCTCCTACGATTGTTTTGTTGACTGTGATCCAAGACGAAGTTATTTAAGGGAATTCTGGTATCAGTGAGGGTTAAAGTTTTTAATACGAAGTCTCAAAAGTTTCTGGATTTTATTTTCTTTTCATTTGCTGTTTGCTAAGTTTCAGACCCAGTAAGTTACTTTAACGTGGTTTGCACGTTTTGCATTAAGGTGTCCCAAAACAGTCCCATGTTGACTGGCAAAAAGAAGCGTTCCTGTTGGGTTTTTCTGAAGCACACATTCTCTGTACAGTTTCGTTGAATCACTCTCCTTTATGCTTAGTCACTGTTTTTTGCTGTAGGAGTTTAGTTGGGGACAACATGGTGTTTTGCTAACTTCTAAGATTGCCAGTTTGTACCTGATACTTAATTTAGTCACACAAGCTTGTGTGTGTGTGTGTGTGTGTGTGTGTGTGTGTGATTCTAGAAATAGTTGGTGTTTCTATGAATGGTATAGGAAACTGAAGTTTGCCTATGTAGTATCCATTTAATTTCAATCCAGTGTTTTTTTGAATGTTTAGATTCAAGTTTTGGGGAGTTACATATTTTTGTTTTAAAACATAATACTTAAAAATAATACTGCATAAAATGTTAACACTTCGTGTATGATTGGAAAGGTGCTTTAAGGTCACTCAAACAGGCTTTGGTTAATGTGTTTACTATTTGATATAGCATGTTTCTAAATTGTGACTGTTAGATAATCATTTCAATTTCTAAAACTGGTATTTATTTTTATAAAAGGAATCATTTTTGCTGAGTATGTTCTTGGAGAATGTCATTGTATTTATACATTATATTTCATGATACAACTCTTAAGTTAAAACGACTGAGTAGCTGGGCGGTGGTGGCTACACCTTTAATCCCAGCACTCGGGAGACAGAGGCAGGCGGATCTCTGTGAGTTCGAGACCAGCCTGGTCTACAGGAGCTAGTTCCAGGACAGCCTCCAAAGCCACAGAGAAACCCTGTCTCGAAAAACCGGAAAAAAAAAAAAAAAAAAAAAACCGGGCGTTGGTGGTGCACGCCTTCAATCCCAGCACTCGGGAGGCAGAGGCAGAGGCAGGCGGATCTCTGTGAGTTCGAGGCCGGGCTGGACCGATAGCCTCCAAAACAATACAGAGAAACACTGTCTCGTAAAAACCAAAAAAAAAAAAAACCAAAAAAAACCCAAAAAACCCCGACTGAGTAAATAGTTCATATTAATTGTGATGCGATAGAGATTCAAGCTGAAGTAGTTGCTTGTATATTATGCAAACTAAAAGCGAAGTGTTAAACACAAATATAACTCAGTTATAGAGTATGCTTTAAATGTAATTAAAGCCTAGGGTTTTTTTTTTTAATCAAGAAGGTTTTTTTTTTTTCCTGTTTTAAAGACTGGTTAATGTTAGCACTGCAGCAGTAGAGTAGTTCTTCATAGAGCTGCGTTTACTAAACTTTATAAATTTAAGTAATATTTAAAGATAGTTGTATGTAAGTCTGGCTGTTGAGAAAGGCAGAGTACATCCACATGGGGGTGACTATGTTTATATACTGTTGGGCACAGAATACCTGTAGTCAGTCTTTCACAAGTTCTGATTGTTTTCAAAGTAGAATAACTGCCTCAAGATCAACAGCTGAGCCTCCAAAGAAGCGCACTCCCCTTTGTCGTCTTAGACCAAGTCCTGCCTTTTGGGTTAGACCTGTTTTTAATCTGTGTTTTAATCCAAATAGGTTCTTGTCTGAGTATTAAATGTTTTCTAACATTTTAATTTCTGATCTAAGCCTATGATTATTTCATTGGTTTATTTAGTGGAGAAAATTGTGAGTAGTTAGAACTTTTATTTAAAAAAATTTTAACCATGAAATTTAGAAATGACAGATGTATGTTTTGATTATATTACATCTGGAGGGATGGATAAGAACGTGAAAATAAATATCCAGATCATTAGCTCATTTTTTCTATAAAGCCAGAAGTAAAGTTTAATGAAATAATTAGAAAATGTAACTCATTTATCCATTTGGTTTGTCTCAGTTGTCAACTTGACAAAACCTAGAGTCATCTGAGAGAAGTCTCAATTGAGGAATTTCTAGATCACCTGGCATGTGGGGAATTGATGTGGGAGGGTCCAGCCCTCTGTGAGCACTACATCCTTAGGCTGATAAGGGGTTCTGGACTATCTAAGAAAGCTAAGTGAGCTTCAGACAGTGAGCAAGCCAAAGAGCAGTGTTCCATCATGGTTTCTGCTCAGTTCCTACTCTGGACTCCTGGAAGTGTTAGCTGAAACCTTTTCCTCCTGCAATTGCTTCTGATTCAGGTGTTTTACGAGTTACCACAGCAGTATAACGAAACTAGAACGCCCTTGTACTGCGGGTATGTGCTACGAGTTGGGAATTTAGTGGTAATCTAATTTCCATCATGTGTAGCCATCTACATCACGACCATGGCTTTAAGTCTTTTGTGTTGTTTGTGTGTTTTGTTTTTGCTGTGTTTAAGACAGAATCCAAGCACTTGCTTTACTGCAGTGCTACGTGGGTATCACCTCCACCCTTTAAAAGCAGACACAATGACTGAGGCATAGATTTGTTATCTTCAAAACTAAATACACGTATTTGTTTAGTAGGCCATTCAGTGTTTCTGTTTGCTATGTACTCCTACCTCTGACTATATAAAAGGTTAAGATTTTTCCTGGAGATACTACTTATAACTGATTGCTAAATTGTTGATTTTGGTAATGGACTTCCTTGTCATAATTAATTGGACAAGCCTTGCATTAAGACATGTTTAGTACAGGTCTGTGTCATCTAATATATAAATGTAATACTAAGCAGCAGGCTAGGCTGATGTCACTTCATGTTTTGAGTAGATTTCCTTGGTGCCCTGCTCACCAGTTTTCTAAGGTTTAGAAGAGTAGAAAAATTGAAGTTACCTTTGATTTGTTTTTCCCGTTGATTTTTTTTTTATGGTTTTATCTCCATATAAAAAGATGCCTGGGACACATTAGTTAGGCACTCAGGAAGTCTTTGAGCACCAGTAACTGTATGGCTAGTGGAGTGATTTTGTTTTAAACTAATTTTCTAATGTTAGATATGTAAGTTTTTATCATGTCATGGTATATTTTCCATGAAATCAGGAATGTATATTTGGGAATTTATTTTCTTGTATTCTTTCATTCATGTGTTCACAGAAATGAATCTCAAATTGGAGCACAATTTTGAATTCAGGGAACATAACGATGTATGAGACAGAGATAGTTTGGTGTTCTTGGAGATTATAGCTTTCTATAGAACTAGTTACTAAAAAGAGCAGTGATTTATTTTCAGTTGTCACTAGTAATGCCCTAAGCTGCAGCACGTAATAAGCATGCATTTTGTAAGGGCTCCATGCCTTGCCTTGGATTCTAGGGGAGGGTCACAAGCTGAAATTAGAGTTGAGACACATAAAGAGGGAGAGGTGTGTGTGTGTGTGTGTGTGTGTGTGTGTGTGTGTGTGTGTGTTTGTTTTAAGAAACTGGTAGACATTAGACACAGCCCTAAGTTGTATTAAACAACCTTTCTGAACATATTTTAAAATTGTGGTAGTTTATGATTGTATTATCTCCTTATATATTTTAGTGAATTTTGAGAACTGTCTCTGAGCCTTAAGTGGTAAGCTCTCACTCACTGTATGGGAAAATACCATGTCTTAAAACTATTTTTAAGGATTGCTAGTCAGCCACAGAGTATGAGTTGGCAACCAGCTTCTGTTAAAGAAAATGGAAACTATTGTAAAACATTCTATCATTTACAAATAATTTTTTAGCCTAAAGAAACTTCCAGTAATTCTTTCATGTGTAGCTTAATAGAAATTGCTTTTAGCATGTTTTAAAAGACCCACTAAGTTTAATGAAGCTCAGTTTGAACTTGGAGCCATAATTTTAGCAACATGTTTTCTACTAGACCTGCTGTGTCATTGTTCAACTGATAAATCAGGGACTGAAGTTTTAAACCCTGTTTCACAGGATTCATGAGCAACTAGAAATACTCTATGAAGGCATTTTAAGTTTTATAATACTGATCTTGATTAGAAAGAGGATGGATCTGGAAGAGCTTTAAAGTTCGAAGCCAAGTCTCTCTCCCTAGAAAGACTGTTACTATATTTTTTTATTTTTTGTGTATTTAACTATAAAATGGACTTGGCCTAGATTCCTACTTTGTATAGATATGCTGAGAATGGTTAAATTCATGCTGTTTCATATGTTCATATTTAAACCATGTGGTCAAAGCAAAGTAATGTGCTTTAATAATTATAAAAAATGAAAAGTTTTGACTCACAAGAATGAGTAGGTGTTAGAATAAACTACAAGCAAAACTGTGTAATCTTCATTCTGCAAATAATATCTTAAAATCTTCATTCTGCAAATAATATCTTAAAATCTTCATTCTGCAAATAATATCTTAAAATCGAGTCACCAGGTGTCAAAGAGCTATTTTCTTCACTTTTTTATTTATTTATTTTTTTGTTTTTCGAGACAGGGTTTCTCTGTGGCTTTGGAGACTGTCCTGGAACTAGCTCTTGTAGACCAGGCTGGTCTTGAACTCACAGAGATCCGCCTGACTCTGCCTCCCAAGTGCTGGGATTAAAGGCGTGCGCCACCACTGCCCGGCTTTCTTCACTTTTTATAAGTAAACATGTTTGCTATTCCAAATGAATATTGATAAGATGTACATTTAAGTCCTACCTTGTCACTAGATAGATGACTTTGGGCAAGTCACTTACTACTTTTGAACATTATTTTTCTCTGAGTTGTAGGAAATTGACTTGGTATATGTTAAGAAGGATACATATACTAGATAATACAATTAATATTACTCCCTTTTTTGAAGTCTACTTAAAAAGTAACAAAATACTAAAATGTGTTGTTGTGGTTCAATTTTTTAAAAATATTTTTATGTAGAAGGGAGTAATGATGAAGAGGCTACTTTGAAATTTGAGAGCCTTCTATCTTTGCAAGTTGTTACTGTTTTGGAATGTTAGTCAGAATTACAGTGGCCATTATTTTAAACACCTTTGAATTAGGTAATATTTTTAAGATGTGCTCTTCCTGGTGTGGTTATGTGATGGTGTGCATAATAACATAAAGGCACATAAAGTGCTCATACAAGTCATAGTGGTGGTCACTGTTGAAACTGCTTGTATTTTTAGGTTTCTCTCAGCAACAATCAAGCTTAACTAACCTCTAGCATGTGAGATAAACTCAGTCTTGTTATTGCAAAATAAGAAAGCTCCAGCTGTTTTCACAATCTAATCCATCAGCAAAGTTTGTCTTAATTCTTGTTAAACATTTTCATTGCTTTAGTTATAAATATTTGCCATAATTAATCTCTCATTTCCTCTCTTGTTCTTTTAGTACAAGTAGTTTAAATTGAGAGTCAACTCTTGCCTATGGAATTTGTGAGAAAACAACATTTTGAAAGTATCCAACTCATTCTGTTATTTGTAAGCACAATTTAAAAATGATTTGGTGTTGAATGTGTACATTTTACCAGGGCATCATTGAACATCAAAATATCAACTTGGGACTTTGCTACTAGTAAAGAAGAGTTCTGTTAGTAACAACTGGGTTTTTATTATTCCCATCTGAAGAATGTTAGTCTTCAGTCAAGAAAAAAGTTGTAACAACTTGTGGAGTGATTACCCACTTGCAACCAAGCTAGAATTTATGGAAATACATGTCAGAGAGTTAGCACCCAACGAAGAAAATAGGCTATAGATAATTTTATTTGGAAAATTATACACTACAGTGTAATTTATTTTGAAAATCACTGGGTTGAATTTCCTCTGTAATGTACAAATGGAGATAGATAATAGCTGTAGAGGTCTGGAGTTTGGAAAATTTTTAGGCAGGATGTATAGATGAGTTTTCTGCCTATAGATGATAAATAAAAGTTGGAAAAACCCTAGCACACCCAAGAGGGATGCATAGTGTGGACAAGAATGGCATGAAATCCTGAAGAAAAGTAACATTTAAGAAAAGAATATCCAGAGAGGTAGGCGGGAACTTGGTTAAGTGTGATAGCATGGGTAAAGGAAGGTTAACGTCCAAGAGGAGGTAGGAATCTAATGGTGCAGCAAAGGTGAGGGGAGCTGGAGGAGGGAAGAAGAAAGGGCCTTCCTTCAGATTGATGAGGATCTTTGTAGAGAGTCTGATGTGGAGTACTAGAATCACGACAGATGAGAGGGCCGCCGAGTATGTAAATAGGAAACTACAAGATTTTGGTTTGTTTTTCTTAAAATTTGACTAGGAAATAAGAATGATAGCAGAAGACAGCAATATTTTAAATTTCCACCACTAATAGAAACAAATGAAGCAGTTAAATATTTTAGGAAAAAGATGTATTGAATAAGCTTAGTTATAGTTAAATCAGCATATATTGATATACTTTCTCTTATTTTTGCTACAAATTTTGCTTGATGAAATATTAAAAAATCGGTTTTAAGATGAGAGTGTCCAGGAGCTTAGGCCATGCGTCTCGTCTGGGCAGCACAGTAGAGGTATGGGAGCCAGTCCTGACATAATGAACATGGGAGAGGTGCCCCTATTACTCAAATGTTAGGTGGTGGCAAAGGTGGAGGGGAGATGTGCCCCCCATCAACATCTGAGTCAGGTAGAAGAGATGGCTCTGAGGTCATAAGAGCCAGAGAGCTGACCCAGCCCCTCATCAGCTGCAGCACTTGGGAGAGGAGTCCCTATACCTCCCCTGTGCAACACAGTAGAGCTGGCCCTTAAGGTGTAGGTGTGAGAGACCCCCAACCCCCCAGGATGTGAAAGGGGGAGAACTAGCCTGGCATTGCAGAAGAGCTCACCCTGGTGGTGAGGACAGGGGAAAGCTGGTGGGCAACCCTGCAACTAACCAGGCCTAGAACCAGGATTATGTGTTGACCCACCCCAATATCCATGCCATGTGTGGTCTCCTGGAGCATGGGGGCCACAAGTAAGGGGTTGATCTTGTGGACCTAGGGCTGCAAGATCTCCATGGCACAGGGCAGCAATGGAATGTCCAGGAAGAGTCCCAGTGAAGGTCCAGCTTCGATGTGTAGCAGAGACCAGGGGCCTCAAACCAGACCAGTGATTCTTTGGGATGAACGCCTGCATGTAAAAAAATCTGTGGATGGAGGGATTTGCTGCGTGACTCTCAGTGTCACACTGCAGCTTCTCTCTTCCTTTTTTTTCTCCTCTTAAATTTTATTTTGTTTTATTTTTGCTGGGGGAAAGAGATAGGTAAGATCTGGAGACATGATATGGAGACATAGTGTGAAAGACAAAGAATATATAGAATTTTTTTAAAAAGATGAGTGTCTGTAATCCCTCATTATTTCATAGATAACTATTTCTCTATCCTTAAAATTATCAATGACTTTCGCTTACTAAAAGACTGAATTCCATAAACTAACATATAACATTCTTGATTGGCTCAGTTCCCTTTTGGCCTCATTTCTTGTATTTTGTTATAGTCCATTAATATTAGAAAGATTGAATATATGTTGTTAGTTCATTTGCTATTACTTCAGAAGTGAATTTCTCTTTCTTAGTTTACCATACCTCCTAACCCTTTTCTGTGCTAATTATCTTCTCTGTGCTACCATTTTCTTCCTGTTGTATTGATCCGTAGAACATGATCAAGTTTTGACTTCTACCTCCCTTGCAACTCCTTTAAGAGGAGATACTAATTTACCTGTGTATTGCCAGAGGGAACACAGAGCCTGGTACCTAGTAATTAGCAAAAAAATCTTATTTAGTAAAGTGAATGAGAGTTGGCCCTTAGAAGTAATATATGTATATGTGTATTCTCAACAGCATGATGAGGGGTCTGCAGTGAATCATATCAAAATCAAGTTAATTGAAATTTAAAAGCTAAAATCTATAGTATTCTGAAATTTGGGAGGTAAAATAACACTTATTATAATTTATGTATAATATATGTTTTGACTATTGTATTTGGAAGCCATATATGCCTGTTATGCATATTGTCACCTAGTATGTAAATTTGAAACTTCATGACATTTTAAAATACTAGGTTGTTACTAAAAGTGCTTAAGGTGCTTTAAGATGTGTTAATTATATATCAACTTAACCACTCAAATATTTGTATGTACTTTACATATTTAATTCTTAAGAATAACCTAAAATATATCTGTGATTTGATTTCTTACACAGTTTTGAAAAATCAACCTTTTTTTGTTTAATGACTTTACCTTTTTCTATTTCAAAAACTAGAGCTGGACTGGCCATTATGGAAGAAGAGGTACAGCAGCACTCACACTGTGTGAACTGTGTCAGTAGACGGTGTATGACCAGACCAGAGCCTGGGATTGCCTGTGACCTCATTGGTTGTCCATTGGTTTGTGGAGCAGTTTTCCATTCTTGTAAAGCTGATGAGCATCGACTCTTGTGTCCCTTTGAACGAGTCCCTTGCTTAAATAGTAACTTTGGATGTCCATTTACCATGGCACGAAATAAAGTTGCTGAACATCTAGAAGTGTGTCCTGCAAGTGTGGTGTGCTGTACTATGGAATGGAACCGATGGCCAGTTAGTTACGCAGACCGGAAATCTTATGAAAATCTAAGCAGAGATGTTGATGAAGTGGCACAATTAGACATGGCCTTGGCTCTTCAAGATCAAAGGATGCTTTTGGAATCTCTCAAAGTTGCCACCATGATGTCCAAAGCAACTGATAAAATATCTGAAACTAGAGAACAAATTTCAGTGAAATCAAGTGTTCAGGAAATACCTTGTACTAATGGGTTGGTATCTGTTGATGAAGAATCATATGGTGCACTTTATCAAGCCACTGTAGAAACAACTAGAAGTTTGGCTGCTGCTTTAGATATCCTGAATTCTGCCACAAGAGACATTGGCATGTTAAATACAAGTCTTTCTGTTACCACAGATAAGATGGATGAGAGTAACAGAGAGAGCTTCCAGGAAAGAAACTTAAAAGATGAGGACCACCTTCATGAGGAGGAGATGGGGGCAGTAGGTGGAGTTGACCATAATGGCATAAGTCAGAATGCTCAGTCTGAACAAAATGGGTCAAGTGATTTACTATGTGACTTAAGTACAACTTCTCTTGGTACTGCTGTTCTTTGTAATGGCTTTCCTTTGGAAAATATGTGTTCACAGATCAAAGATCAGGATCAAAATTTTCCTCGTGATTCTATAGACAGTAATATAGAAAATGGAGAGTGTGCAGCAGCAGATGGTACTTCAGAACCTTCCAGTTCACTTTTAGTAGCAGCACAACTTAGGGAAATAATTCCTTTCAGTGCTTTGCCAGATAGCGCATTTCAGCATATCCTCATGCCAGATGAAGATGATGAGGAGGACTTGTATTGGAAAAAGGTAGACTTAGGGGACGTGAAGGATGTTGATGACCCACCATTCAGTCATACTCCGTCATTTAAGTTTCTTTCTAATTCATGGTATATACCAAAGGAAGACAAAGCAGTTGACACATCAGATTTAGAAGTTGCAGAAGATCCCATGGACCTCCAAGGAATAGACCTGATTACAGCAGCATTACTGTTTTGTCTGGGAGATTCTCCAGGTGGGAGGGGTATATCTGATAGCCGCATGGTTGATGTTTATCACATTGACTTTGGGACACAGACTTTCTCACTTCCATCTGCAATATTAGCTACAAATACAATGGTTGGAGAAATAGCTTCAGCTTCAGCATGTGATCATGCCAATCCACAGCTTTCAAATCCAAGCCCTTTTCAGACACTTGGGCTAGATTTAGTTTTGGAATGTGTTGCTAGGTACCAGCCTAAGCAGCGTTCAATGTTTACCTTTGTATGTGGACAGTTGTTCAGAAGAAAAGAATTTCCTTCCCATTTTAAGAACGTACATGGTGACATTCATGCTGGACTCAATGGATGGATGGAACAGAGGTGTCCTTTGGCTTACTATGGTTGTACCTATTCTCAGCGTAGATTTTGTCCATCAACACAAGGAGCAAAGATTATTCATGACCGCCATCTAAGGTCATTTGGAGTTCAGCCATGTGTATCTACAGTATTAGAAGAGCCTTCTAGAAACTGTGTGCTGGGATTACGTAGTGACCATCTAAGTAGTCTCCCATTTGAGGTACTGCAACATATCGCAGGCTTTCTTGATGGCTTCAGTTTATGCCAGCTTGCATGTGTATCCAGGCTAATGCGGGATGTGTGTGGCAGTCTACTTCAGTCTCGTGGAATGGTCATATTGCAGTGGGGGAAAAAGAAGTATCCAGAAGGAAATTCATCATGGCAGATAAAAGAAAAGGTTAGTTTAATTCAAATTATTAACCGCTTTTAATATGAAGTAGACACTTATTAATGCTATGATAAATCTAATAACTTTTTGAAAAAGTGACCATATCCTATAATGTACTAAGTCAATATAATGACACATTTTAAAAGTGATAATAAAGGATTAAAGTCATTAGAGTTCTTACTCACAACCGCTAGTATATCATAGATTTCTTGGACCTGAATTCTGATCTAATATTTCTGTGTTTTCAGACAGCCAGTTTTCCGTCAGTTCTTCACTAACAACATGTTACTACTGGTCATCTTCTAATTTTGTCTGAAACATTGTCATCATAAGACAGCTGAGGAACCCTAGGAGAGGCTTCCCTTTGGCCTTCAATTGTCTCCATTCTTGATAGTGTCTTTCAGGATGAGAATATATATATATATATATGTATATATATTGGGATAACTGTTATAACAGATATCCTAGTAATTGACCACTATCTCCATGGGTGAGTGAGGCTGAAGTAGACAGTTTGTTACTGTGTTTGGAGACACTGGATTTCCTGTAAAAGGGCGGTGAATATTATTTAGAAAGTTGAAAAGGAAATTTAGGCAGACTTAAATTTTATTTACACTCTGCTTTTGAGTAGCTTCTCAGAAGCTACTGTCCAAGACAGTAACAGGTATCTGGGATTAGAGAGCCATAATTGTACCAGACTTTATTTTGGGCCACCAACCAGCTACCAAATCATGACATGGAGACTTCTTCTTAGCTTTGAATGCTCGGCCTAGCTTAGGCTCGTTTCTGTCTAGCTCTTTTATAACTTAACCTGTTTCTCTCTACCTTTTCTTGGGGCTTTTTACCTTTTCTTTCCTTCTGTGTATCTTATGTTCACTGCTTCTCTCTCAAGTCTGGCTGGCTGGTGGCTGCATGGCTGACCCCAGGCATGTCGCTCTCTTTCTCACTCATTCTTTTCTCCCTTCCTTATTCTCTCTGCCTGCCAGTCCCACCTATCCGTCTCCTGCCATCCAGTTTTTTATTAGACCAATCAGATACCCTAGATAGGCAAGATGAAACAAATGCAACACAGCTTTGTATAGTTAAACACACATCCTTACATCGTTAAACAAATGCAGCATAAACAAATGTAACACACCTCTACACAGTTAAGGTAATATTCCATACCATAAGCAAAGTAACATATCTTTACCTACTTAAAATAGTCCACAACACATAATGTGAATCGTTTGGCTGCATAGCTTTCAGTTTATGTAAATTATTCTTGACCCTTCCTTAGGTTTTGTCTTTACTCATTGCTCTAGTCTTTTAAAAAATCTGTGTCTGCTTCTCTGTTTTCTTTCCCCAAAAGGGAAATATAAAGTTTCTGGTGATATAAAGTTTCTTTGGCTAGCTATGTATGTGTATTTTTTATTTTCTAAATGATTGGGAGCATCTCTATCCTTTGGAATAAGGTACTGTAATTGTTTTTGTCCTTAGTCACTAGTATTTATATATGGAATGAAGAATTTTCTGATAGTGTAAATTTCTACAGAGACCTAGTCTTGAAAATGAAATTGCTATCATTTATTCAGATTCTATATCAGTATACAAGTATCTACTGACCATGTCTGCCTGATTATCCCATAGCTTCCCCAGACTCAACGTGTCTGGCGTACTCTGCCCCTACCCACTTCATCTCAGGAAGTAGCATCTTTGTTTACTAAGCCGCCTAATCCAGGGCTTTGGGAGTTGTGTTGACTATTTGTTCCCACATTCTAGTTGATTGGTCCTTTTTCATATCTCTCAGGTTTGCCTCACCATTTCACCTTTGATTGTTTCTGGATTATATTCTCTATATAAAAGTTAGAATTATGTATTTTTAAGTATATTTATTATAGTTGTTGCAGTGCTTAAAACTTATCTAAATTTATTCATTGCCTCAAGATAGAAGCCAGGGCCTTAATGAAACATTTAAAATATCTCATAGTCTTGTTCTTACCTCTTCAGTTTCCTTCTGTCACTTCATACTCTAGTCACATTTGCTTACATTTCTTAATGTTCTGTTTCTTGCCTTGAAGCTTTTGGAGATGTCTCCCAGATGTCCACACGTAAGCACCTGCAGTGTGCTAGATAGCATGTATTTTTACATAACTTCATTATCCTATTATTGTCTCCACTTTACAAAAGAAACAGTAACTTGTCAGATATATTTATTTATTGTGGTACTGGGCGTTGAACATGGGGTTCCCAAGTGCTATGCAAATATACTTAGCTGATTCCCAGCCCTCTTATTTCTTTTTTATTGTAATGGAGGGTTTCATTAAATTGCCCACACTGGCCCAGAATTCACTCCGTACCGTAGACTAGGCAGGACTTGAATTTGTTATCCTCCTGCCTCATCCCCTGGGTAGCTGGGATTACAGGCCTGTGCCCCCAGCCTGCCAACAATGATGGTTGTTCTTGTCAACTGAAAAATTCTTTTGTCACAGAATTTTAGGGCATCTGGCTACTTTGCATGCCATGACTCTCTTGAGAAATGAATTCTGTCCTCGTCCCAGTACTGCTGTTTCTAGAGTATCTGCAGTTTACCTTGTGGAGCTGGCCTCTGTCTCTGTGGCTTCCAAGTCATATAGATTAATCCAACTGCAGATAAAAATTTAGGAAAACATGCACTGAGCACACACTGCACAGATGTTCCTGTCCATTATTCCCTAAACAATGTAATATTACTACACGACACATTGTATTTGGTATCCTAAGTAACCTAGAGATGATTTTAAAAGTTTATTGGAGGAAGTGGACCTGCCACTTTGGACAAGCATGAGTAACTGGGTTTATTCCTTTTTTGATTTTGTAGCTATTTGGAACTTGATATTTTATGTTTTTCTAGCGATAGAAAAGAAGTACAGCAGCTAGAGCCGAGCAAAAAAGGCATTCTGATTTTCTGTTGATTGGACTATTTAAATCTGAAGTAGAATTTTCTTCTAGGTATGGCGATTCAGTACTGCATTTTGTTCTGTTAATGAATGGAAATTTGCTGACATCCTAAGCATGGCTGACCACTTGAAGACTTGCAGTTACAATGTTGTACAGAAACAGGAGGAAGCAGTCCCATTGCCATGCATGTGTGTGACTCGAGAACTTACTAAGGAAGGCCGTTCGCTGCGCTCTGTTTTAAAGCCCGTGCTGTAAAGCTGTATTTACTTGCACATACCGCAAGCACCTGGTATGAATTCTTTGTAACATGTGACACTTTATTACTGTATTAAAGACTACAACTAGCTAAATTTATTGTCACTATGTACATACTGTTTTGCAGTGACATATTTTTATAATGTACTGTTAATTGGACAAAAGTTGCCTTAATATTTGAAATGTATGAAATTGTTGGAACATTGCTAGACAGGGTAATCTAATCTTTATCTGCATAATTTTTCAAATTAGTCATTTTAATGGTGTGCATATTTAAGTTCTGAAAATTTTTGCTTCTCAAACTGAAAAGAATTTCACCAAAAAATTATTTCTGTATGTTTTCTGTGGATTGAAGCCCATACTATCAAAAGCAAAACTTTGATTCAGATTTTTCCTGCATAGGTTTTTTTCACAGAACACATTCAGTCATTTAAACACTGCCATAAGATTGTTATAAAGTATTTCTGATATTTTTTAAAATAATTATTGATCAAATGTGATCTCCACTACTTACATAAAGGCACAATAGTGACTTCATGCTTTTAAAACAACTCACAAAAATGTTTTCATCTTCTTTTCTTACTACTCCTGTGCTGAAAATGATCATATGCAGTTCTTTTTCATTAAATTCCATATCTGAGGAGTCATGGCACAATGTACTATATGACAGATTAAGTAAAAACAAAGCAAGCCTATGAATTTAACTTGAAAATTTTCATGGTGTTTTATATTTTCCTAGGTATCTAATGTTTGAAAAGAAAATATACCTCACTATAAGTTTGAATTTTGCATATTGTTTGAATAAACTTCAAATATTCATAATACAAAGGGTTTGACTTTTTGAAGGGCCTTTAAAATGTTCATATAGTGAGTTATATAGGTCTATAAAAATACGCTGGCATTGTTTTGAGACATTTAAAAATGTTAAAATTTACAAGTTAACATCAAATAGATACCTGTCTTGGTTGATAATCTTTTTGAAATGTTCCAGTTATGCTTCACATATTTATCTGTCAAGTGTAGTGATTTATACCATATTCACTTAATGTGCTTAACTTTAAAGAAATGAGCATACGGTGTCGATATTTAGAAGTAAATTCCAGAGGCAGAGACATACGTGATTTGTCCAGATAAATTCTGGCATTGGTGAGCTGAAATGGTTAATGATGTTGAAAATCAGTTGTGTCTCTCTTCCTACATTGATTTGAGACTGCTTTGTGGTTACTGGTTCTTGTCTCCGAGATACGGTGGTCAGCCTGGGGAGAGGCGTCCTTGGGCATTAAAGGTGGGTTCGCAGCTGCTTGAGGGTGGTTGGCAGCATCAAGTCCTTATTAGAGTTGAAAAGTGCATGGAAAAGACTAATCACTGCTTTTGCCTCACCTGTCATTTAGGAGAATTTGTAATTTCGGTGCTTAAACTTTCTTTCTCAACTGTGAGACTGAATTGCATTAAACAGAGAATAATAATTTTAAAAAAACCTTTGTTTCTGCCAAAAGATAGAAATAGTAATCAAATATGACAGAATATAACTTTGCTTTTTAAATTTTTTTCTGAAGAATGTGTCTATATTTAGGTAATACAAGCATTAACCTTTTATGTTTGTACTTTTAAAATTCAATTTGTAAATTTAGTTTCACAATGAGATACTTAACATTTTTTCACCTTTCCTTTTTAGTGAATGAAATGGTTATTTTAATAATTACAGCATATGTACATGAAAGCTTTTTCTATTTAATTTTTTATTTTGTTCAAATAAATATTTTTTTACAATTTACCTGGGTGAAAAAATGATAGTTAAACACTAGACATAATGCATTTGAGTTAAACATAATTTTCAGTTGTTTGCAGTTAGCTTTAAATACCCAGAAATGGATACTTAATAAAACTTGAGTCTTAAAACTATAGACATGGAAAAGTATGGAATTTTACATGAAATTCTGGGTAGAAAAAGTATTACTCATTCTTCATGGTAGTTAATATTTAGTTGCTGTTGGTATCACTGCATTTTAGCCATCTGTCCTTCATGTGGAGGCAACTTTGGGAGACACAGGAACTGAAAGCTCAAATATTTGCCTAATGAAAATTTTACTACTAATAAATAAAGTCCTAAAAACACAATGACCATATTTTACAAAAACTGACACGAACCATGGTAAGTAAAGCAACAGTGTTATATTCTTTTTTTTTTTGCAGATATAATCTTGCCATTTTTTTTTTTATTAAAAATTGATTCATTCACATCATTTGACATTGTAGCAGGTCAGCAGAAATACCAAATATAAAATCTGTGTTCCTGCTGTCTAAGTGACAAGAATAGGTTCTGAGGAGTTGTAATTTAGATGCCACAGTCCACAGAGTCATGGAGGGAAATCAGCCCATCACAGGAAGGACTTCACCTCTGGGCAATGGCAGGGCATCGAGACAGCTGCACCCTGTTGTCTGGCTGGAGCCAACAATGTTATATTCTTAAGAAAATACTAAAAATTTAAGTGAAAGCCGAAGTTGAACATTACATTTAGGGTTCTTTGACGGACTCATTGCATGAGTACCCTAAAGTACTATGAACCACAGCCAAATTAAAATCACTTAGAAGCTAATCCAAAGCTTTTCCCAAGTTTTCCTCTAATCATGGGCATTTTCCCCCTAAATATAGTGAAGATTGGCCTTTAAAAGAAAGTTAAAATTTAGTTATGTTTATTAAGTTAAGAAAAGACTATCTCTTAAAAATGAGAGCTTTGGACTTTAAAAATGTATAAAATTTGTCTTTATCAAAGTGTTATATTGTTTAACTTAAAATGAGTAAGTTAACCAAACAACTTAGTATTTCGCCACAGTAAAAACAAGAATTATATCAGAAACCTAAAAATCTGAAACCCAAAGAAAAAACTAGCCTGACTGACTATGAGCCAGTAGCTGTCCAGATGTTAGAATGTTAGACACTAGATGTTTTGAGTTCCAAACTGAATTGAAAGCTTTGCAACAGTAGAACTCTTAGGAACATGGACAGGCATGTATGTGCCTGTCATCTCTTGTGCCTCATTTCCCCAGAATGTTTCCCATTGTCCACATGCCCTCGTTAGATGTTTGCTACCATGTGATAATGAGTTTGTGCTCTAATCTTTCCAGATGGAGATGCTCATATTTTTCTGTTTCAGTTTTATTTGACTATTCATGACTTGTTTTTTAGAGTTCTGATTGCAGGTTTGACACTGGGGAGTTGCTGCTGGCTTAGGAGGGAAGGATGCTTTCTCTTACATTCTGAAAATGCTCTTGAGCTGCTTTTCTGGTCATTCTCATTCAAGGATTGATGGTCAGTCCCAAGTTGCAGTCACCAGATTTTCTTGTAGAAGAAATCATCTGTTGGGTCCCAAGTACCTGCAGAATTTACAATACAAGGGCACTCAGGGGCATGTCTTCTGCTCCGTGGTTTTGGTCAAGATGTGTTGTGCTTCATTGTTTGAGAAATTGTGTATTGACCTCCTTCAGGTGTCCCTAGTCTTCCTCAGTTTATTTGACGAGTTTCTAATTCCCAATTTTTCCAGGGAACAGCCCTTATGTTTTTCATGTTTTCCTTCATTAATACTTAATCCATTTCAGAGATTTTATAACTCAGATTTTGAATTCTGAATTCTGTCTGATGACTGGAGAAGCATGATTTCTTATTCTCTAAATTTTCTTGACCTCTTGCTTGTTTCTTCATTCATTTCTTAGATTTTTCTTTTCCATTGTTTTCTAAGACAAATTTCAAGTTAATGTTCTTTATTATGTTATTACTTTATTAAAAAAGTAACTTATTTTTAATTATAAAAATGAGCATTTCTTTTTTGAGCTTGTTTAAGAGCAAATTGAGGAGTTCCAGTTTTGCTCACATTTCCATGTTCTATGACTCCACTTCTTTCGTTTCTTGTAGCTCCTCCTCTTTCTGCATTTGACTAACCTTTTCATGTCTTTCTTTTTCTCTACTAGTAATTTGTAGTGACTTGTTATGTTCTGTTAACACCTTATATGAATGAACTGCATTTAGGTTTCCAATGCTCTTCCAGAATCATCATAGTTGATTTGAAATTTTTTAATTAATATCAAAATATTTCATAATCATGCAATTCATAATTCTCAGTCTGATTCAGACACCCAGGTGTAGGTGTGATGGTCATCTGCATCATTTGCATATTTTGTGATTGTATTCTTTTCATGAGTTGTCATTGTCATCTTGTGTGTTCTCCACTGCCACCCCCCACAGTCTTCCTTCCCAAGAGCAAATTGCTAAGTACCAGTCTTTCCCCACTTTTCTGTCTTACGCTGTATCTCTGAATGGCTGAGCTTGGGGGTGCAGGGATCTCCTGAGTTTTGTGCAGCTGGGCTCTACCATGCATTTCTTTTACACACCTTTTGCTGTTCTCTTTTTTCATTATGCCACCATATTTGTGAGAATATTTCTTACTACTACATTTATTCAAATTCCTAATGAACTTATATGCCTCGTTAATTTATAAGGAGAAGCTTTGACCTGGATAAAATTTTAATGCTTCGACATTCCAAACACAGTCATTGTTTCTGTAATATTGGCATTCTGCATGTTCTAAGAGTTGGGGTTGCTGATTATCATTGCTGACTCAGTCTTTACTGGTGAATATGAAGTTTTTAAATTTGTAATACTTAGTTTTTTCAACTTCTTCAACATCTTCAAAGTCCCATCCATCTAGTGATAGGGAAAAGTTAGAGTTTCTGACATGAATATTTCTCCAAAATAAACAATTAAGCATGAAAAAGAAATGGTTTTTATATTGGCCTGATAGGTTATCATCTGAGGAGTCTGTCTATTTCTATCTTTGGTAGTTACTAGTATAAGGGACAAGTCAAAGAATGGAGGGAAGTATCCAAATTCACTTTTAATCTCTATCTCCGTCACTAGAGATTACTATATACTTTTTGTCAGTTTTTATGTATTTCTTAGACCTCACAGGTCTCTTGGGGGTAAGAAGCAACAATCTATGTTCAGTATCCAGGTGATCCTGATACACAGTAAGAGGCAATTTTTTTTTTAACTTTTAAAATTACACCCTTCCTTCTCCCCACCCCTTTCCTCCCACCCGTGCCTTCCATGTACCTCTCTTGCTCTCTCAAATTCATGGCCTCTTTTAGTTGTATGTGTAGTTCCTAAATAAATTAATAAGCCTGCTTAGCCCACAAATTTTACTCATGTGTATATAATTTCAGGGCTGACCACTTGGTATTGGAAAACCAATTGGGGCATTTTTCCCTCTGGAAGACTTTCTCGCATTCTCGGTATTCCTTAGTTAACTAGTTCTTTATCTATGGTTAAGGCCTCATAAACAATCTTACCAGAAAGCCTGGGGCTTGCCAGCTGTCTCTCCTCTGTTATTCAGGTGTGTACATATTTGAAATCCTAAATGAAGAGCCATAATTTATTAAAATTGTTTAAATAATATGTATGTTAATTTTCTAACCATGTGATAAAATACATTGGGTACTACGACTTGGATTTTTGTTAAAAATCAAAGCAGTATTGTTTCTTACTGGTGTTGACTTCCTTTAAGGTAAATTACAGTGTAAATTTTAATTCATTATCAGTAACCTTTAGCTGAGTAGTCTTGTTCTCTTTAAATGACTGCAAAATCCGGTAAATACCTAGGATGTAATAAGAAAAGTGTAGAAGTAGAGAAATACTGGATTAAATTCTGTGAAGATATTTAATGGGAATCCCATCAACCCAATCAAAAAGAAATAGTGTAGATTTCTGATTTATCATGGTATAGAATCTGTTTCTAGGTCTTTGCTACTATTTGCATATATCAATGATGTATTCTATCCTTTCACGTTGAATATGAGAACCTTAGTAATATTGAAAAATAATGGTGTTCTCAACAAAGCCAGGTGTGGGAGGTTTTGTTGCTATTATTGATAAGAGATTTTATTTGTAGAGATTTGACTATTGGATTTTGGTGTAAAACAATTTTTTTGTGTATACGTGTTTTCCATCCCCAACTAAAAGACATGGGGTTTAAATTTTAAGTATTGTGAGGAAAGGGTATTCAAATATTGTAAAGTTTGTTTCATAAGTGACATACTACATTGGAAGCAGATGTGATTGTGACCTGCAGAATTGGTTATTAAGTGAATGAAAGCAGTTAGGCCAAATCTCTGAACAAAACTTCTTGCATAGAAAGAATTTTTCTGATACTATGCTTGCCTGGTTACCTAAATGTTGCTGTAAATGGTCTTACCATCTGTCTTGATAACTATGAAGCAGAGTTTTGGTTATGCCCTTAAAACTAATGTCTTGGGACTACTTCATCCCATTGTGTTTAAAATAATGTGCCAATAGAGTATTAATCTAAACCTGGTTTCCAGAAAAGTTCATTTCGGTAAAGCATAAGTCTACTGAAATCTTTTCTAAATTACAAGAACTTTTTATATAGACATTTCCTGTTATTTAGAAAATTGTTTGAGATCATAGTTTTCAACTTCCAGTTTTATAATGAGACTATTGAGGCATTCAGTCTAATAGGAATGTATCCTGACAGGGATCCCTCTTTCAGTCCACAGATGCAGAAAGAGAAGGGGCATTTAAATAAAAGGACATTACTGCTGTCTGAGTATTCAGTTCTTACTGTTAGGGAAAGAATTTTGTGTTAATACCAAAAGAAATACACTAGTGAAGTGTAGTGTGTTACTTTGGAAATTCTTTCCAAAACTGAGGTGTTTGTAGAATTTTGTTTCATCTGTGGCTGAAAAATATATATACTAACTGCATATATGTAAATGTATCTTCATAATTGATCATCTTGAGGTTTGTTACCTTAGAACATTTCAAAATTTTCTAGTTGGATTGATGTTCCAATGTATTTGGTGTAGAGTGACTTGGCCTTAATAGACTAAAGAGAAGTAAATTTAGATTACAAACATGATTCGGTAGCACACTGTAAGAATACAGTAAAAGCCAGGCGGTGGTGGTGCGCACCTTTAATCCCAGCATTCAGAAGGCAGAGGCAGACGGATCTCTGAGTTAGAGACCAGCCTGGTCCACAAGAGCTAATTCCAGGACAGCCTGCAAAGCCACAGAGAAACCCTGTCTGGAACCCTCCCCCCCCAAAAATACAGTAAAAATTTGATACAGACCTTTAAAATAATTTTCAGCCCTTTGTTATGGTGGATTGAAGTTTATGTTGTTAAGGAAAAATATTTCAGAACAAATTGACAAGAGAAATAAATGATTTTGTTTTCATTAATAATACAGTTTTTAGCATCTCCAAAATCATTTTATTAACACATACATCCAGCATTGGTACTGCACGCGTTTATCCCAGCACTTGGGAGGCAGAGACAGGCGGATCGCTGTGAGTTCGAGTCCAGCCTGGTCTAAGTGAGTTCCAGGACAGGCTCCAAAAAAAAAAAAAAAAAAAACAGAAAAACCCTGTCTCGAAAAACAAAAACAAAACAAGAGAAATAAAATTACATTTCAGTTGAATTCTTGATATCAGATTCATAGATCCAATTACCCTTTGCCATTAAAGATAAGTCATTGGGTTTTTACCTTTTAAGCATAAATTATTTAATTTTTTTCTCAGAAAAGATTATTAAGAAATAAACTGATAAGAGTCAGTTTTCTTCTGTTTCTAATCAAAAGATGACATTAATTGATGGCTATTATGTGATAGTTAAGAGCCAGTAATAAAAGAACACTCAAAAGATTGAAAGGAACCGGGCCTGGGGTAGTGGCTCAGTTGGTAAAGCACTTGCCGTATAAGCTCAGGGATAGGAGTTTAATTCCCAGAACACGTGCAAGTGCCAGGAATGGTGATACACACTTGTAACCCAGAGCTGAGGAGGTAGGGACAAGTGGCCTCACTGGCCAGCCGGTTTAGCCCTGTTGGTGAACGGACAGACAAGAAGAGCTCATTCAAAAGAGGTGGATGTTCCTGAAGATGGCACCTAAGGGAGGGTGTCATCTGTCCTCCCTGTGTGTAGGACCCTACACAGCACCTAAATAAACAAATCCCCTGATTTCTGCGGTCCCAGAATATTTTTTTTTCTGTTGAAAACTTTTTTTGTAAGTTAACCGTTTTAATGAATATTTATTCTGTGGCGTAAATTTTCTAATAAGGTGATCAAAATACCTACATTAATTATATGGAGTTCTAAAAAGCCTGGTCTGCTAATCAAAGTTAGTTGACTTCATCAACAATTTTATTTAAATAATATATTCATCTTTTTAAAAAAAGTCTCTTTACGAAACATGAATGAGGATATCAGATTATCTACATGTGAAATATTGTGAGTCAATGTAAGCATAGTTGTCTGTGTTAATGCAAGTGCTCTGACAGGAGGGTCATTCTATTCACTGAACCTTGTATAACAGCAAAATATTCATCTTGTCATTATGAAGGACTAAACATCCTGATAAAGTTAAGCATTTGAAAAATGAAAGTGGTAATTAGTCAAATATATCCTAGCCAAACTCCAAAAAAAAAAAGTCTCTTTAGGTTCAACAGTAAACAGATTTGTAGTTTTGAAACATATTAATTATAGGATTCATAGCATTCAGGTCTAGCCATATTATGTAACCAAAATAGGCTATATAAACCAAAATTAAACCACCATATGTTCAAGGGTAAAATTACAGAAAGAATAATTGTTAATTGAATGTCTTTTTTCTAATTACTTAAACTAATTACTTGTATTCATTTTGCATAAGCAGAGAACAACAGTACTGATTTCCCCCAAAATTCCAGTAACCCTGACATGAAATTTGCTTTGAGTGGCTAAAATCTCAGTGAACATGACTTCTAAAAATTGAAACTTTGCATAAGAATATATAGTTTGGCCGGGCGTTGGTGGTGCACGCCTTTAATCCCAGCACTTGGGAGGCAGAGGCAGGTGGATCTCTGTGAGTTTGAGACCAGCCTGGTCTACAGGAGTTAGTTCCAGGACAGCCTCCAAAGCCACATAGAAACCCTGTCTCAAAAAACCAAAAAAAAAAAAAAAAAAAATATATATATATATATATACATATATATATATAGTTTGCCTGAATGGATTTACATTCAGAAAAGTAACTGTACTCACTCATCTCACATGCTGTGTAGTTTCCAGTGTAGCCTCAGTTTTTCCATGAGGTACACTTAAAAAGTTCAAAATGACATGGTATTCACTGAAAAAATGTATGGTGCTAGGCACAAAGCCCACATGTAATTGCATTTATAAGAACTAGAATAAGTCAGTCCAGAAAAACAAGTCAGATTAGTGGTTGCCAAAGGAAAGGGGGTGTCTGCTTAAAGAGCACAGGGATTTTTGTTTTGTTTTTTGGAGTAGTAGCAGTCCTCTAGAACATGACTGATGATGTTTGCACAGCACTGGGGACATACTGATTGTCACAAATCATGTACTCTGAGATGGTACATTTATGTTCTATGTATTTTGCTACCCTTGTGTTTTTGAGAAGGATGTGGTATTTGAGGTCATTATTAAATCCCCACAAAATGTGTTCCCAAGGCTTATAAAATGTTCAAGCTGAAGATAGGAATTTTAAATAGCATTGATAATTTGGCAGATGTATTAGGTTAAAATTCTCAGGAAAATCTGTGAGTCCCATTTAAACTTACCGATGACAGCAGTAGAAATAATGCTAATTACTCATAATTTCCTTATATTGAAGACAACTGTGACCTAGTAATTTTCTTTTTTACTTTTTGCATTTTGTTATGACCCCTGTGACTTTTTAAAATGCTTTGAAAAAAATGTGTTTTTATTTTTCTTAAGTTTTTATACATTATGTTCCTTTTAAAGAACAAATACAATTATGTATTAAGATTTAATAAATTGAACTCTGCATTTTTTTAAAAAATCCTTTTGTATTGTCTTGTGGAAAAAAACTATTTGATTCTTGAGCTTTGTAAACCTTTAATGATTACTTAATATTTGGTGAGATTGAAGTTGTTATTGTGTTGATTGCATACTTACTGAACACTCATTCCAGTTCCCATGTAGGTTTGCTGGGAAACTTCTGAACTCTCAGGCTTTATAGGTAATTTATTATTTTTCTATCTTTTACCACCTCATAATGATGCCAGACAAATGGACAAATTCCAGTAAAGCAAAGGATTAAGGTAAAGATTTACTTAAAATGTTTATCCACATAATTCTCTAAATACTTCCAAAAGGTGTACTTTGGTATATTTATGTATTTATGATCATAAGGAATTCCCTCAAGGAATTAATTTATTTCTCATGATTCTGGAAGGAGTTGATTTCAAGTCCTTTGAAGCTAACAACTGCACAGAGTGCAAAAATACCAACTTTGCAAAATCGTAGACTCAGCGATTAAAAGTTAAATTGCTTTGCAGGTAGTTGTGCTTGTCATATAACTGGGGGTAATAATGCCAACTAAAGGTTATGTTCTCCAAGTGGAATGACAATAAGTATAATTAAATGAGATTAAAAGAATGAGAATACTGTGGACTAGATCATCAGGATAAAAAGACAAGAAGAGACTTGTACTACAATAGCTGTACTTACACAGGGCAACCAGGCTCAAAGCCAGAACACAGCAAATAACTGTGTAATTCATACTCTGACAGTTCACTGTACTTTGTTACTCTGTGGCTTCTTATTAATGGAACTTGTGTACTGTTTAGGAAATAAGTCATTTAACCTGTATTTCATTGTCTTCTATTCCACATTGCATTCTACCTTTCTTAGTCATTGTACTTATTTCTCCAACACTTTGTATTTTTTAATGTTGCTGAACCTTTTCACCTATTTCTTTTGATAAAAATGTTCTCCTCCAACCTGCCTTGCTCATTGTTGAAGATATAATTTTGATCACACTGTTCTTAGACTTTCTCATCGCCTTTTATTTTGGCTTGTTTTTCTAGTTATTTTCCAGCATTAATCGCACTGCAGTACTATTTCTGTTTACTGGTATATGTAACAAGGTTACTTGTGTCCTCTCTAGGTAGATTTCCTGTTGAGTGTCTGTCTGTGCCTGGGCTGAGACCTTTACTGAAGAAGGCATTTATTAGATGTTCATTGATATAATTAGTGAATAATGATTAATTGTAGTGCCATTCAGTTCATTTTAGTCTAGCAAACTCATGCTACGTTGGCTAGACTGGTTTTGTTTCCCCTGCTTTACCTGCTGCCTGGTTGGCTCACATGTCCACAGTCAGCTGATTGATAAACAGAGGACTAGATGATTTAAGATCTCCTTATGTGTCTGGTAATTGACAGGCCACTGGCCAGAGTAATGGAATGATTAGGCCACATGTCTCTCATCGTCCATCAGGCTAGTCCAGACTTATTCATGCAGCAGTAGCAAGAACAGCAAATAAGTAGGTCCTAGTTGGAAAAATCCTTTCCATGCCACTGCTTGTTAGATTTATTAATGTTCTGTTTTCCAAAGCAGCCCCATGGTCAATGAAATAGATTACCTTGATTGGAAGAGCAGCACAACCATATTACAAATTACTAACATACAGGAGTGGGGAGAGTCATCCAATTAAGCCCTGAAAGTATAATATCACTAATTTCCATCATCCTCAAAACCTCTCAGCATTGTAACAAAGATCCTAAATACAAAAAAGTAAGAGAAG